AAAGTTTAGGAAAATAAATCGTTTTCCACTTTCTTTTGTCAAATAGTCTGATTAACCAAAACCATTATGAACACCTGTCTGACACTCTCCACATAGATAAGATAATAATATTTTATTTCATTCTCATTCACATTATATATAGACATACATCTACAATTTACATAAAAGTGACCAATCAATTAATGATTTGTAAAAGACTATATATTTATATTGATATAAAACACATGAAGAGTTATATCATTGTACATCGGCCGATCTGAGTGTCCAGTTATTGTGAGAGCCCCATCTGATCGCCGGTCGATCGGATAAATGATACTAGAGCACAATATCCAGGCACATATTATTGGGAAAGTAACTGATACAGTAATTTACATATGTTTTATATTCAACCGTTAACCTAGAACGGAAATTAGATATTATTATATTATTATTGATTCACATAGGTTCCCAAATTACCTATATTAATGAATAAGTCAATATAATAAGTTTTTATATATACGCAATAACTTTATCTGTTCATTTAAATTCATAACGTTTTAAGATTAAGTCATCATAATCAATCTACTTGATTAATATATAAACAATGTTTCACAACTTTGGCATTTATCCGGTGCTAAAGAGTTATAAAAGATGTTGCATATTTCATTTCCTGTCATGAACAGATGCAATAAAACCTGTTCATTATTTTCGTTGCGCTCTTTCCAGACTTTTTTAAAACTAGATAACTCTGGTATGCCATCGTTTAAAGCACGTGTTTTCCTAAAACCATCTTCTAATTATTAAATTCTTTTTTGAAGTTAAGTCAAGTTAGATGTACACCAGGTCCAAATGTAATTCTAGCAAACAAACATTTTCACCTTTCAGTCTCAATAATGTACAAATATTTGTTACTCATGTCACTGCGTGTGCTTTTCACAAAATACAAGTCACTATAAATTATTTTTCAAACATTCTTCTGCTCAACTATATTCACTTTTATCAGAAATTGTTTTTACATTATGTTTCTTGTTGGCACGTATGACAGTCTGTGTTGCTGTGGAATAGATAACACGTTACTCTTACAAAATTATAAATTACATGAATTCATTGAAACTTCAACTATGATCAATAGTTACAATACATTCTGAGTCATGTTACAACGCACCTACATACTATCATTGAAGTCAACAATTTATTGTTTATATAGAAATTTTGTTAATCATCATGCATGGCAATTTTTGACAATTGTATGTTCAGGCATATTGTATTAAGTTGTATATTATGCAACTAAACTACATGTATCACATTAAAAAATCATACAATAAAACACTTGCATTTTAATCATATTTTCTTAGAGTCTCTATCATTGATTGACAATTTATCAATGTAAATGTTTTATACCATTTAGTACTGAAATTTTCCAAGTTAAAGCTCTTAAAAGTACGCATGTGTTATCATAATATATATATTATCGTAGACATATAAATAAAAAGAAATTTTAATATAATCGAGCCTAATAAAGAATGATATCATATTTCCTGTCGATAAATAATAATCTTTATTGACATTTGCACCATATTTGACAATTATTTGATTACCGTTGGCTGTAAGACATGCGACCAGAGGTTAACGAACTTGCCGCTTCATTTAATTAATGATAACAAGCAAGCTATAAACGACGTGTGCCTTTACCAAATGCTTTATTAATGGACGATGAACAGCCCTTAACCAAATTACTGTATTGTTTTAATTTTCTATCATTTGAATTCATTTGTGTGTCAAGAATCGAAATTCCTCATTGCAAATGTTGTAAAATTTTATAACAAGGTGATAAATCACATTTCTGCTGATTACAAATTCTTCTAGAGTGAATACATGACCCAAATATCAGGCCTATAAATTACACATATATAGCAATAATATATGTAATGAATGTAAAATAACTGTTTAATTGTGAATAAAGACACGACTTCGGGTTTGACAAGCCTTCCAACATCAGAATAATCTAAATAATGTTGAAAATGCATTTTCTTTAACTTACCAAATACAATTACTCTACTGTGTTAATTATATGATGTATTTTATATGACGTTTTAATTGTCAACATTAAGTTTCAAAATTTGTTGAACGATATATATCTTTATATGTTTAAATCTATTACACGGTGTCTCCAAGTGTAATTTTAAAGTACATCAAAGATTTGAATTGCCCTAATATTGACATAAACTCTGATTGCCAATGTATCATCGCAGCAAATAGCGTTTCTCAGCATTATACATTCATAAAGTCAGCATTTATGTGACATAAACTTCATTAGTTTAAAAATATATTTTATTTCCCAAGATATATATACATGATACATTTACAATTTACACAAACCATTTCTTAAATATTCTTACAAATAGGATTATGATGGAAGACAATCCATGTCTTAAAAAATTCTTATGAAATTCAATAAAAAACTTAATTGAATTTCATTTGTAAACAAGTGCCCGCTTGAAATTTCTAATGAAACTAGTACTACGGTGCAATGTTTCATATTGACCGCTCGTTGCACATTGCTTTGTTTTATGCATTTGATTCATCATTTATATAGAATTATAGTGACATTTTGTATATAAATGATCAATTTGTTGTTGAATGACCTTCTATATGGTTTTGTCCTCACATTTTATAGACAATATCATTTGTTCAGTAATATCAATTAAATATAAAAAGAACGGTCAGAGAATAAAACTGTTTTATATATCACCTGTTATATTTATAGTATATATTTATTTTCAATAGTTGGGCTGTATCATAATTTTACAGATTTCGTAGAAAATAATGATAAAATAGTTATGATGGATTCTTTAATATTAACTGATATTATATATCTTGGATTATTTTAATACAAGAAATGTTGTACACATCCAATTGAGTCACAAATTAAAATGACTTTGTACGATGTATTATACTATCATAGTTTAATTTTTTATGATTTACTGGAAACAGAGAAAGAGCAATTCGTGAGTAAGTAATTATCATTTTATTCACATATTCAGCGCATTATAAATATATCTACATCTATATCATTACTTAGGTGAATATTTTAATTTAGTCTTAAAGTAGAAGTGAATGTAATGCTATCAAGTACAGTTTACAAATCGTGATATTTTTGAGACACCAAAAATGATCGACGAATCTAAATTAACCAACGACAAGGCGACAACTATGACTATTTGAGATAATGTATGAAAATATTAAATAAGCGGTGCCATGTGTTTAACAGTCAGAGAGAGATATATCCCTAGTTAATGCTAAATAATTAAGTTATAAACCACAATAATGATGACATATGACTCTGCAGATTGATTTAAATGTTTGTTGCAGTATTGTTTTGTTTTTTGTTTAAACATTTTATGATTAATGAACATAACTCATTATGCTATATAAATATTCCAATAAATCACCATTATATACAATAACAATATGTTTTCTTGTAGTCGAAAACGTATTAAATGATGTCAAAATTGCTGTAAACATTATATTAAATTACTATTGATTCGGCGACTGTTAAATTCTCTAAGAGTTGATCTGTTAGTGTTGTAATTTCTGTTCCATTGGTAATATAAATGGTCCCACTACTTTTAATCCACCACACTGAACATTTAGAGTCCTCGTTATTACTCTCTTTTTTCAATATTGAACACCGTCATGTTGTGTAGGTTGTAACCGTGTAAATAAGACAGAATGCAATCTGTTTTTTTTAATGAATTTTTCATTCTGGTCCATCCCATCGGAATCCAGTTTTTTAGTATTTTTACGTAATAAGATTAAGCGTTGGTTACTCTAATGCAAGAGGATTCGGGAGATTTTGCATTTCATCGCTCTTTTAAGAAGTAAAAAAACAGAAGATTCAGCAATTCACATTTCTTTTCGAAATTTATTTCTCATTGTTCACGAGGAATCCACCTTGTCAGAAATAGTTGTCAATGTTCACGAGGGATCCACTTTGTCAGAAATATTTGTCAGTGTACACGAGGGATTGTGAGTGATAGTTTTTTTTCACGAGGGATCACTTTGTCAGAATTGAAATACATTTATCAATTGTTGAGAAATATACCTGTAAAATACCTCAATACTGAAGAACAATATTAGGTTTATCACATCATTGTACTGAATCAATCATTTAAAGATGTAACTTGAATAACAGATTTTATACTTTCTCTAGATACATTTATATCATTACAAAAAGTTATAACATATAATAAGTTTCTTTATCATTATTATTCATTACACATGTCATGTGCAGTGTAGAAATATGTGCAGAAATATGAGCCGTGTCATGACAAAACCAACATAATGGGTTTGCGACCAGCATGGATCCAGACCAGCCTGCGCATCCGCGCAGTCTGATCAGGATCCATGCTGTTCGCTTATCAACTCTCTTACAAGTGGAGAAACTGACAGCGAACAGCATGGATCCTGATCAGACTGCGCGGATGCGCAGGCTGGTCTGGATCCATGCTGGTCGCAAACCCATTATGTTGGTTTTGTCGTGGCACGGCTCATATGTATTCGCCAATAAAATATACATTTTCTGTTTGTCTGTCATGACATTGGTAAAAACCAATTCAGAATGTAAAATGTAATATAAATATAAACATTAAAAAAGGATGATATCAGTCCTCATATAGTTTGTATCACTAAGATAAATATATCATCCGTGTATAGCATTATAATAACATGGATAAATGTTTTGATTTATTACGGTAGTTTATAACATTTTATTATCAATACTTCATATATCATATATATAAAAAATCAAAGTTTAATTTGTGTCGAACCACATCAAAAATATTTATAGAACCGATAGTAATTTTTATAATGTGAAATATGAAATATTGTCATCATAAATTATACAGATTAATCATTGGTTTAAATAACAATTTCATTAACTATTGCTCACCCTACATATTACAATATATTTAACTATATTATTCATTGTTAAAGACGTTCTTGTTATATTTAATATTCAGCTAAATCATGACGTGGCATCAACCATGGTACCAGCTTCTGACACTGGTGATATCTGTAGTACAAGTCAACTCTGACGCCATGCTGTCAAACATTGCTGCTCTTGTACACGACTCAGTTCAAGATCCCATCATAAACAATATACAGTTACAGGGGTTACATGGACCTATTCCGACTTTACAAGAACAACAAATGCCGCCATTTATGAATCAACAAATGGCGGCACATATGGCCATGAAAATGCCAGCTTTTAACGGACCAAATGTACCACTTGATATTCTACTTGCTAGTGAAAGAACTAATATGTCACCACCGGTGTCTCCAAGCAATTATTTAACTCTTCCACAATTTCCAATAGGATTTGTTGACTTTCAAGTGAACCAGTCTAAACATCGTTTCGCGACGTCAAAACACCAGTCAGGTTATATTTCTATACCACCAGGGGCACCAGTCAATTTCCTGCAAGTTCCGGACTGGAAATCGTACATGCAGGCACAGGGGGGCATGCCACCTGGTAGTAAGATGCCTACAAGTCCTCATAAGCATGCTCTAGGTTTGGTTGTACAGGGGCCAGTGCTGGAAGGTAAACCGTCTGATATTCAAGTAGATCCTGTACATCATCTATCAATGAATCATCTGTTTGTTCCTATCCCTGTAGCTCAAGTAAACTCCAAGGGAGGCAACCCTGGCAATCAAGGTAAGATAATTATAAGATATATGGTCATATAAACAGTAACATTAATTAATAACAATTTTCATCTTTATTTTTTATTCCACGTGTTATATGCATTCATATGTCTACTACCCAGGCATGTAACTTTCTTTATTCACAGATAATTTTAGAAAAAAATTTATGCAAAGTATGGAAGAAAGAGAACAAAAAACATTAAGAAAATAATTAAAAAAGAAAAAAAAATTCAAATTACAAATGTATTCCGTACTCTACATATGTCATTAAAACAATGGATATCTGTCAATAATAACCTTGAATATCTTTTATGATATCAGTATTCAATAACAATGCATGAAACTTTTGTAAGTGGTTATTGTACATACAAATCAATAAATCAGTTTTTAAAGATTGAAATTTAGACCATTTGTGTACGTTTATTAATTATGTGTTGTATATTTGTTAAGTTGTTCGTGCTGCTTAGGTCCTTGGAATTGATCATATGAGACCAGAAAGGCAAATGAATTACTATTATCAAATATTGCACATAAACTATATAATCACACGATGCTTAAGATTCTTATACCATAAGTAATTACGTCAAAAATGAACAACTCATAATTAGTTATTATAGAATATGAATGATGATGAACTGTATGTATATGTATATTGACTTGTTACAGTTGTTATGCTTTGTGTAGCAATTATAGATCATATTGAATGTGCATAGCAATCATAAATCCCTTAAGACGCATTTTGATTAATTGGAATGTTGTATTTGCAAGAAAATAAATGTGAGACTGTTAAGATTTTCACTCCAGTATGTTTTATATTGTACGGAATCATTGTATGTTTGGAAAACAAATGTATAAAACAGCAAATTTTAATAAACGTTATGTGTAATTATTTCCATAAACATTTCTGTAACTTGTTCAGGAAAATGCATATCATTGAAGCCTAAGACTGTGCTTTCTTAATGAGTTATATAACTGTTTGATTGAATCATATTCTTCCTAGCGCATGATGAAAAATATTCACGGTGTCATTTAGATAGTTAAGTAGTAATGAGTTATCACGTATTTAATATGTTAGATATTTTCAGAAGATACAAATGATGGTATATGTTCAAAGAAGTCAAGGCATTTGATAACATTGTCTAAGTCAGTTACTGATTGCAATGTTTGTGTGTTTAGCACTGGTAGAATCTATGACATATAATCAATCATATATTGTTATTTTTGTATTCCATATTTTAATAATCTATTTCAGTATCTCCAGGTCCAACGGTAGCAGATATCCTTATTGTTATTGACGCGTCAGACAGAATGGGGCATATTGATGCCAATGGAAAAGTGGTTTGGAATCCAAATATTGTGGACTTTCTGAATAAGTTTGTTAAGTTTACACCACTTGGACCTGATGCCAACCGTATAGGTGTTGTTGTAGTCAGTATAGGTATAGATGACATGATCCCTCTAACAAATGAAAGGAAATTTCTGATCGATTCATTGAATCTACTAAGACCATCATTTCGCGGTGGTTGTACTGAAAAGGGAATAAACACGGCTAGCAGTTTATTCTACCAGTACGGCCGTCAAAATGCAGTTAAACGTATTGTTTTGTTGACTGAGGGATCAGGAAAATGTTCATACAGAAACATGGCGGAGATAATATATGCTAGAAAGTGTGGCATAGATATAATACACGTAGGGTTTGGACGAAATCTAGGTCAAATTAAAGAGCAAGGGTACCAGTCTCACTGGATTGTTACTGGCGCAGACATGCTCGCCACGGTTGCGGAACCAGTCGCAAAGAGAGCTTATATTGGTAAGTGTGGATTTTAATTATAAATATAACAAAAAATGAGATGTTTATTTACTTTTTGCTAGTTGATGCAAATCGTTTCAAGTATATTGGATTTGTGTATGTCTTATGCTATGTTCTCACCACCGATCAGATCAATTCGATCGTCCCGATCACATTAATTCCCCGATGAAGCCCGACTAAGCTGGATTAAATGCACATTCACGACTCCTACACGACCTCAAGTCGACCCTACACGATGTTTTACGACTTCTCGACGACAACCCAACCAACATCCAGACTTCTTCTCAATCACCCAGACCTATACACTAGTCATACACGATCTCAACTAGACTCTGCTTGATCGTTGCCAGATTTCCACCTGACCAGATCGTAATGATCGTAATCGAGTCGTGAATTGTCGTGTATCGATCGTGTACAGATCTGGTAAGAGATGTATACCCGACCAAACTAGATCCTTACACGATTTATTCTCGATCAACTAGATCTTCTACTCGATCACTATACGATCGCTTCTCGACCGCTTATCTACTCGATCGCTTCTCGAACTTTTTTGACATGTCAAAAAAATTCGGGTAGGAAGCCTGAGCCATGCCGACTAAGGTAGACCGCTCCGACCACCCCGATCACGTATGCAAACCGAGCTAGAGCGGTACCCGATCGCTTGATCGTGCTTGATCGAGTTGATCTGATCGGCGGTGAGAACACAGCATTAGACACCATGCTAATGGCAACACAAATGTTATATATTTTTTTAATGAACCTAATGCACTCTTATATATCATGTTTTATTTAAACTTTCATAATAAGTACATATTTATGCACATTGTATATCAATATTTTCGTCACATATAAATGTCACGATATAACATAACCACATAAAATGTAAAACGCTTTAACGTATCTATAGTAAAATAACTTCTCGTTTGATCCAAGTAAAACTTCCGAATCATTAAATAACTATATTCTTGATTAAATACGTGACGTATAAATTAGCGAATAAGAATAATGAATCACAATTAATGTGGAAATGCCTGCATCATTTTACAGGTTAACATATAGAAAATATTACAAAATGACGAAATATTTTGAACCTAATTATAATAGCTTTTTGATAAATGTCATTTAAAATCAAATCTGTTCACAAACATATGAAAGACAATTTGTCATTACCAAACTGTATCTTACGGATTAAATTATGTATATTTGTGATTTATGAAATGATGTAAAACAAAATGAAGACAAATGTTTCATTCGAGGAAGGGAAGTGTGTTGTTTGATACGCTAGTTGTTAGCGACACCTGTATACATTTATTTACTTCTGATAGGTCATCTAGACTAGGAACGCTGACGTCTTTATAATGGTCTGTATCTGAAGCACCTAGTGACTGTCATCTTCTATAGAAACTTGTTAAATGAATAACACTTAAACTTAGTTAAACACGCCCACGCCATTGATTCATACAATCATTCTTGAAGTCAAACTGTTTAATATGGTGTTTAGTCTTCTAGAAAAGAATGATGAGTCATCATAGTTTTTTTTCCATATACCACAATAATGCCATTAATTATTAACTTATTCTTATCTACTTTTGTCATTAAACATAACTTTCTTTACTCTCTAAAATGTATGAAATAGCAAAACACAACGTTTTTATAGAATGCTGTGTAATGTTTAAACATAAATAGTGTCAATAACAACAATTAAACAACAATAAAACAACGATAAAATGTCATTTATCTTAAAGGAAATTATGACTATTTTGTTTGTAAATAGACGTTGTTAGCTGTATTGTAAATAGTTAAATGACTTAGTATATCTTCTTTAATATCTAAACCTTTTTGAAAATCGTCATTTTTGTCAGTAATTGGGAAATGTTCCACTAAAAGTTTGGAAATTATAGTTATATTTGCTTTGACGATTACAACCTGTCAATGTGGCTCACTAGCTCTATACCTAAGTATATGCGATTTTCTTCCTAAGCACGTGCCACGCTTCCGTTGAATTGTCAAGATTAATGGTTTGATTTTTACGCTATATTTCATGGTATTACTTTAAAATGTGATGCATACGGTTCTCCAGGTTTAGATATAGAGTTAATTGTTATGTAAATTTATGTAAAATAACAGAATGCAGCCTGCCGAAAACGAGCATTTTGCCATATTGTACATGTAACATCAAATTATAATATAAATTATATAATGAAGATGAATGTAAAATACATTATGCGGAAGAATTCAAAATCCTGTATATGAATAATTAACTACATCCATTCTTTTGAGCGTGCAAAATTTTGTGTAATTCATGCGCTATTGATAAAAATGGGGACAATGTTTATGTGTGTTGCTTTTATAAATATACAATATGAACATTCTCTATTTTAGCTCTTGCTAAGCCACCAATAATATTTATTACAAAGTATTGTTTATTATAAAAGTAGATTCAACATGAATAATTTTGAAAAATCGATTTAAATACGTTAAGATAACAATTATATGTCATTTAATAGTAAAACTAATCATAAAAGCAAGATACAACTTAGGTGAATCTGTTTAATATTATTCTATTATACTGGAATAAGATATTTTTTGTTTTCAAGTGCTTGTCTACCAATATTGTATATCATCAAAAGTAGATGTTGCAATGATTTAATGATTCAAATAAACACTAAGTTTGTAACATTTATACAAAAGAACACTAAATATAAAACGTATATACAATATAGGTAAAAGACAGTTATCCAGACACGACAGTTCATCACCATAAAAATGGGCACGTAAAAGGAAAATAAAAACGCTCATAGTGTATAGTCTATCACATTTAAACAGAAAAGTGTCTCATTGAAGTGGTCAATAAAATATTCATGTGTATACTTAAATCAATTAAGGAACAATAATAATCCACGACATTGTTGATCAAATCGTTTGATATAACAACATTGTGTTAATAATCAAATATACAATTATACATGCTTGTGAAATAATAAAGCTACCTACACATTTTTTCCATGATAATAAAAGATTTAAACAGCATTTTATGACAAGCAGGTGCACTGTTGTTATGTCGGTTTAAATTTGATAGAATATAATATAAATGCCTTAAGGGCACATTATGCCTTAGAAACAAATAAATTTTTGCTTTTCTGTTGAAAGGGCAAATGTGTATATATAATGGTTTAAGAGAATGTTTGATACCTGTTACCTGAAGAAAGTAGTGATAAATGTGAAATAATTTGTCATGACAGTAGCAATATGTAAACAAAGCAGTATTTGACTTCCATACAACATACTTATTCAATATTATGTACGTATTGCATAAAAGTAAGACAGATGACAAAGATTTTCCAGGTAATTTAGGGGACCTCTTGCATACTATAAAAGTACACAAAAATTAAAAAAGAACTTTTGAGAAATGGGCTTTACAAAAAACAAAAACGTGTATGATATATCATAATTAAGTAGATCATAATTAAGTAGTGTATGTATTAGAACATGGAGTAAGTGTTATACTCAATCTTGATAACCATAAAATAATACAATAATTTAGATCTGCCCGAATCAAACATGGTTTATTATGTTACTGGAATGGACATTCCGTACAAAAAGTTGCCATATTTAAAAGTGCATTTTATTTATCTTATTTGACTAATTTTATTTTTAAAAGTAAAACTTTAATGATAATTAAATTAATCACGAATATTTCAAATACATGTATAATATAGATTTTAACATTTTAACCCTGCACAGTTTTATATCAAACTGCCTTTTTACATCACGCTATTTTAAATGTAATTGGTGACATGCGTCAAAATTGATTGAAATTTATCGTCATTTGTGTAAATATAAACGTAAGACTACTGAACAAGTTTGTATTGTTTTTGCTGTTTTAATGATATAAAAGGACATAACCTTTGATAACAATTTTATTGTCGTTCGAAGCAGTCTTTTTAAGATTTATAGAGGAAAACTTGAATTTTTTTTTAATCGATCAATTCAAATGATTTTAGAGGTTACAATCTATGTGATTTTGAAACGATTTTTATGAAAATAAATAAAATTATTATAATTATACAATTTGTTTGAAATTAAGGGAATCTGAATTTATAACATATGAAAAAAGCTTAAAAAGATGAGTTTTAACAACTATTTGTTGGTGAACTATGCCCCATTTTGGGATAAAACGACATGTCTTTGAGAAGGCAAGATTTATTTTTAGATACGTCAGTTATGAACCAAGCTTAAACTCTATCACATTATACTTAATATAAACAACTGTCTCTGTCTCTCTCTGTCTCTCTCTGTCTCTCTCTCTCTAAATAGCCTAACTGCCTACAAATGTCGAATAAGATACACAAGGTTAAAAAGGGAATGAAAATACATATACTCATTGAATAACTACGATATAAAGTGTCTGTATAAGCTAGATAATGCGACTCAATCATGTTAAAGCACATAATTAAGTTTGTGTACCACTTCAAATAGGGGCGTCTGTGGCCAAGTGGTTAAGGTCGATGACTTCTAACCACTTGACCCTCACCGCTGTGGGTTCTAATCCCGACAGGGACTTTGGATTCTTTCATGTGAGGAAGCTATCCAGCTAGCTTACGGAACGTCGGTGGTTCTACTCAGGTGCCCGTTCGTGTCTGAAATAATGCACGAAAGGGCACCTGAGGTCTTCCTCCACCAGTAAAGCTGGAACATCGCCAAATGACCTATACTGTGACGGTGTGACGTAAAACCCAATCAAACAAACAAACCAGTCCATTGACATATGGCTTTGAAACTTTGCACACTTGTTCACCATCATGCCCCAACCTTTTAGACAGAAGGAGGTAACTATATCAAGCATTTTGACAGAATAATGCCCCCTTTTCGACTTTGAATTTACATTAAAGATTGCGAACCACCTCAGATATTTTCATATTCCGTTAACATCTGGCTTTGAAACAAGTTGAAATTTTATACCCTTCTTTGAGAACATTATATGACTCTCTCTCCAAGGT